AGCCGCAATTGCCTCATCTAGAGTTTGCACCTTGCACTTGTCAAGCTCTACTCTAGCCCATTCTTTGAGTCCATCCATGAAGTAAAAAAGTGCCTCCTTGTCGAACAAGTCTTCGATCTCGAGCATGACAATAGTAAACTCTTTGATGTAGTCAGGAATACTATCAGTTTGTCTCAACCTACGAAGCTTACCTCGAGCCTCCGTCTCAGCGTTATGGGGAACAAAGTGCTTTTAAATCTCTGACTTGAACAGCTCCCATGTGTTGAGAGTACAAATTCCTTTCTCTTGCTCGGCATGCTTTCTGCGCCACCATAGTTGGGCTGCATCCTGAAGGAAAGTTGAAGCATTATTAATTTTGACCAAGTCATCAATGACTCCCATGGCCTTGAAGTACTGTTCTAGGCCAAAGAGGAAGTTCTCCACAACTGTAGCACTATGAGCTCCATTGTACATTGCCAACTTAGGTACTTTCAGACCTTGAGAAGTGGCGTTTGAAGTACTACCACTAATAGGGATTCCTACTCATGATGAATCTCATCCATTTAAGAGTGTAGACCTCGCACCTCATCCTCGACGTATTTGTGAAGATCGGCGAGATCTTGGGTAAGGAAAGGAATGTCCTCCCCCATATTACGGCCAAGTTCTACAATAATCAACTTGGAAACATGCGTGACCTCAGCATTCTCTTGGATGAGATTGCTGAGTTGATCGTCGAGTTCCCCTATAGTGTTTCTCACTTCTTTCATATGAGATTCCAAGCCAACACGAGGTTCAAGGGACTCACTTGCGAGTGCCTTGCTCCTACTTCGCTTGGATTTGGTATGAGCTTACTCCTCTTATATATAGGCTTGCTCTTATACTTCCACACCAACAACATTTCCTTTCTCGGTTGCCATTGCGCAATACCTTCCTTCAAGCACAAAGGTTAGAACCGGGCTCTGATACCAATTGTCACGAGGCTAGTCTTTCAACCTGTACGACACTTAGACAATCTTCACTGGAAGTTACTAAGTAAACCTAACTTGTAGAAAAGGAGGATACTTGGCTAAGTTGAGGAAAGAGAAAGCTTGAGGGCAAAGGATACTTGAGAGAGAGTGCTTGGGGAATGTTAGAGTAGTTTTTGAGAACTCCAAATTGGTTACAAATGAGGTGGGGTGAGGTATTTATAGACCTCCTCTTAGATCTAGAAAGTTTCCATCTCCTTAATGGACGGTGGAGATTAAATTAATCCTACAATTATAATTGTTCTTGCACTCTCTAGCACTCCTAAGGTTATCTGAGAGCCTTTTGGAGGGTTCTGGAACATTCCGAAGGTCCTTAACCTCATAAAAAATTATGAATCGTGACAAAATACTTTAAATGCCAAGGATTTGGACACATTGTTACAGATTGTCCTACCTGAAGGGTTGTCACCATTAGGGAAGGACAAGAGTATGAAGCACCTAAAGAAGATGAGGGGGAGATTAAGTTTTATAGCATTGATCCCGTACATGATGAGGAGGTCACACCTGCTAATCAGGGAGAAGCATTGTCCTTCCCTAATGGTGACAAGGGGAATGGAAGCTGTGAAAATTTAGTATATGACTACATGGTGGAGAAATTGAAATTGTTAACACAAGATTATCTACAACCTTACAAGTTTCACTGGCTCAACAAGGGGAATGAGGTAAAAGTTTGTAAACAATGCCTTATGACCTTTTTTTATTGAGAACCGATATTGCGATGAAGTTTTATGTGATGTTGTTCCTATGGATGCATGCCACCTTCTCTTGGGCATATTGACATGCTATGCACAATGGGCGTGGAAACACCTATTATTTTATGAAAGATAGTGTCAAGATCACACTAGCACCTCTACCGCCTAGCGAGATTAGCCAATCTTTGAGGGAATCTAGCGCCTCTAAGCCATTGGTGTCTTTGATGATAAGGAGGAATTCAACGTGTCGATGTTCGAAGCCTAAATGATGAGCTTTATTCTGGTGCTTGAGGTGAATGATGAGTTTGCCAATCCACTAAGAGTCATTCCATTACTGTCTGAATTTCTGAATGTAATATTTGACGAGACACTACTAGGGTTGCCTCCCATACGAGACATACAGCACACTATTGACTTTGTTTCAAGAGCAGTCATTCCTAACAAGTCTGCTTATAGGATGAGCCCTCAGGAACATGCCGAAGTCCAATGGCAAGTTGAAGAGTTGATGAAGAAAGAGTTAGTCCGCAAAAGTGTTAGCCCTTAAGCTATACCGATTCTTCTAGTACCTAAGAAGGATGGAGTTGGAGAATGTGCATTGATTGTCGAGCTGTCAACAAAATCACGATTAAGTATCAGTTTCGATACCTTGTCTCAATGATATACTAGACCAGTTACATGATGCCACTATCTTTTCAAAAATTGACCTTCGTAGTAGGTATCACCAAATCAGAATTCGACCAAGAGATGAGTGGAAGACCGCTTTCAAGACCAGAGATGGTTTGTATGAGTGGAATGTAATGCCTTTTGGGTTAACAAATGCCCCTGGCATGCGCTTGATGAATCAAGTATTGACACCCTTCATTGATAAATTTGTTGTTGTGTACTTTGATGATATTTTTATTTACAGCAAAAGTCAAAAAGAAAACTTAGATCACTTGCGACAAGTTTTACAAGCCTTGCATGAACAGAAGCTTTATGCTAATCTCAAGAAGTGCACCTTCATCACCAGTGAAGTTGTATTCTTGGATTACATCATTACCACAGAGGGTGTTCGAGTTAATCCAAGCAAAGTTGCTGCCATTGATAACTGGTCAATTCCAAAATCTATCTAGGAGGTTCAAAACATGGATTAGCTTCTTTCTACAGGAGGTTCATTCGTAATTTTAGCTCTATTACTATACCACTTACAAATTGCACCAAAGGAGAGAAATTTCAGTAGACAGAGCAAGCTCAAAAAAGCATTGAAGAGCTTAAGAAGTTGACCAAAGCTCCAGTCCTAGCTCTTCCTAATTTTGACCAAGTGTTTAAAGTTAGCTGTGATGCTTCTAACATCGGCATTGGTGCTGTCTTAAGCCAGGAGGGCCATCCAACATTAAGTCATTATCTCTTGACTAAAGAGTTCATACTCTTATCAGATCATGAGGCTCTCAAGTATTTGAATTCTCGGTAGAAGATCAACCGTAGGCATGCCCGTTAGAGTGAACTCTTACAGTCTTATCCATTCCTTATCAAACATAAGGCTGGAGATGCTCTTAGTTGTCAACATGTGCTGCTACTCACAACACTGCAGACCAAGTTGTTGGGTTTGACCTTATCAAAGAATTGTATCAGGATTATCCTGATTTTCGAGGAGTGTGGGAAGCAATGGCAAATCAACCTTTCCACCAGTTCTACAAACACGACGGGTTTCTATTTCGAGGAAAAACCCTATGCATTCCATAGGGCTCCTTAAGAGAAGCCATACTTTGGGAAGCATATGATAGTGGATTAGTTGAACATTTTTGGACATGATAAAATAGTTGGCCTAGTGAAGGAGAACTTTTACTGGTCTCGACTTGAACGAGATGTTAATAGGCATATACAAAGATGCAGAGTTTACCACTTTGCCAAATCCAAGGGTCAGAATACTGGATTATACATATCTTTATCAATTCTAGAAGCCCTTTGGGAAGATGTAACTATGATCTATCATGGTAGTTGTGGATTGTTTCTTAAAAATAGCCCATTTCATTTCGTGCCAGAATACCAACGATGTTGTTTCAAGTAGCAGACTTGTCCTTTAAGGAGATTGTCCATCTACATGGCATTCCCAAGACTATCACTTCTGACCGTGATGTGAAGTTCCTCAACCACTTTTGGCGGACGCTATGGAAGAAGATGGGAACTAGGCTCCAGTTTAACAGTGCTAGTCATCCCCGAACAGACGGTCAAACTGAAGCTGTAAACATGATTCTTGGTAATCTTCTTCACAATTTCGTGGGGAAGAATTTGAAGCAGTGAGATCTCATTCTTGCTCAAGTTGAATTTGCTTACAATAACTCTGTCAATCAAACAACAAGGAAGTGTCCATTTAAAGTTGTTTATGGCACTCGTCCCCTTAGCCCACTAGACTTGATCCCTTTACTTAATAAGCAGCAATATAGCTCTGATGCTGACCTAAGGACTAAAGAAATTAAGAAGTTGCATGAGCAAGTTCGCGAGCAAATCCAAAAAGCAAAATTTGAAATACAAGGCTTAACGTGACAAGTATCGGAGACAACAGACTTTCAAGGTAGGAGATGGTTTGGATACATCTGTGAAAGGAATTATTTCCTAAACAATTGAATGCCAAGCTATCCCCAAAAGCTAATGGTCTATTCAAGATTGTACAAAAGATCAACAACAATACTCATAAGGTGGAATCAAATCGCCTGGTTCTTATGGAGTGTCTGCCACCTTCAATGTTGTTGATCTATCCCCTTACATTGACGATGAAGCCGAATTTAACTCGAGAACGAGTTTCATTCAACCCAAGGAGGATGAAATGGAACAACAATAAAGTAATGAAGGAACAAACCGACATCTGTTGTGTCACCACCATTAACACAATAATAAAGCATTTGTAACTTGCCTTTTAATTCCCTTTGCTCCATTTCATACTTAGAACAGTATAAATAGCTTAGTATCTTTGTGTATCGCATCTCAGACTGAAAAAGAATAAATTAAGAGTTTGTTTCCCATTTGGTTTCTATGCCATAATGTATATAGGCATGTATGCATATATATGTATATGTATATATAAATGCATGTGCATGTATGTGTGCACAGGCATACGTATGTATATTTAAATACATTCATATGCATATACATACATAGATATGTATATATATATATATATGTATTAGTAGGTACAAATGAATGTATTTACATGCATAAATGCATACACATGTACACAAGCATGCACATGCATGTATGTATAATAGCATCTACAGACACGTGTGTGTGTGTGTGTGTGTAAAGGTAGTTTGCATGGATTGTCCAGTACCTTGCAAAGTAGCCTGGCCAGAGAAAGTGAAATTCCCTAAAAGACCAAGATTAGGAGAATAAGTCAAAAACCAAACCAGTAAAGATGCTTCCAAACTTCTCTTATGCAAATTATTAAATGAACAACAACTCCCAAAAAACGTTATATGGACTTTTCTTGACTTTACTACATCACCCTCAACTTTTAAATGACAAACAAATGGATAGTCCAATTGGAAAAAAAAAAAAAAACAGCAATTGACTACAGATCTAGGCATATAGTTTTGTTATAAGCAAAGAACATTTTAGGCATACAGCTAAAAATGAACATTACCTTCTGCATTTAAGCAAGGAATCAGCACACGTTCAAGAGGAAGAGTCAAATTCAACCAAATGTAAAGTGCTTCACTCAAAATTAATTAATTGATATAACAGTGAAAAAGTGTGCTCCAAGATTATATTCATAATGCTTTTTTATTTTTTATTTTTTTTAAAAGTGGAACAATGTAAGGTGAGGAAAACACAAGGACAAATTGAATTACCTTTCTTGGAAGATGTGACCAAAGGAATGCCTGGTGGACCACATAAAAGTGTGAAGAATCAGCGGAGGTAATATTTGCAGTATGCTGTTTCCCAACAGCTAGTCTTCTCTCGAATGCCTCCAATGTCCGTTTCCTTGAATCTTGAGTGGCTGACTCTGCAGTCATGGACACCTTCTTGCTATATGAATAAGAATAAGACCAACATTATCAAAATACACTTGAAGCAGTCAAGGAGCAACATGTCATGAAACACAAGCATGAAAAATATGGGATTGGACTATCAAACTCTAAACACACTGAGAAAGTCATCTAGACATACACTACAACACAAAAGGAAGAAATCCCCAATAAACTGATTGTACTCAAATGATAAAAGAATTATCCATCAATAGAGAAAAGCCCAAAGCAGGAGGCCATGATAAGTAAATAGAAACAGAGGAAAAGTGATATGAACAAAGGAGCAAGGAGTGAAGAGGGTGGAGTCATGTTGCAGGCTGAAATTTCAATAGTCAAAGATTCATTGGCAATGTTGTTGAGACAAAGTGATAATGCTCATCTTCTAAGATTAACAAATCAATTGTTCAATATTTATAATTCATCTTCTAGGATTAATAAATGTGTTATGTTACTAACCAATTAAAGACCTTGAGACTTGTGTATCATTTTGCAAATGTGAGGAACCTATCTATCATTATCTTTTATACAGGAGACCTATATGTCATTATTCTCTTTCATATAAGATAAATTTGTGTGAGCGATTGAGACATGCCCTTAAATGTCTCAAAACAATAACGCATCAATTTCATGAGATGAGACATTACCATGAATATCACCATCAAAACCCACATGACTTATGACTTATCTCTTTCACTGTGGTAAATCCAATCTTTGCAGCCTTCTACTAATCCCTTGCTAATCAAATGATTTTCCCCAACAATCATTTCAACATATACCACAAGGGCACAAAAACAAACTCAATTATCATAAAATAAGTAAATGAAGATAAAATTAAACAATCAGCACTTGAAAAAACATAATAATTTCATAAAATGGAAAAGGAGGAGTGGGAAAAAAAATGTGTTGTTAATCCAAAGAAAACCCCAAAAAATAATAGATACTCCCTCCATTAAAAAAAATATAAGATATTTTTTAAATATAAGATATTTTTTGAGTTAAATGCTCAATGATGTAAATAATAAATTTAATAATTCTTCCTCCTTGCATTGATTTGTAAAAGCTTGGATTTGATTTGTATCTAAGGCAGATTAACAAAAACCATAATAATTAATTATGAAAATAATAACGAGGAGTGGGAAAGCATACCAATAATTAACATGAAAATAAACAAGACAATCAATAATCACTAACTACGTAAATAACATATTCAAAAGGAACAACAACAACAAAATAATTAATTATGTAAATATATTGTTTTATTTCTTGCTCCTCCTTTGCCATTTTACATCATTGTAAAGAGAAGCAAGAGATACAAGAATCGCCAGAAAAATAGAAGAAATCGAGTCACAAATAAGACATTTAATTAACCAGTTATTATAAAATAAATAAATAATATAAAGATAGAAAAAATATATAAATAAAAAATTGAATTAAACAATTAATACAACATGAAAATAAATAAATAAGACAGTCAATAATAAATAATTACTTAAAATAATAATTAATTATGTAAATAATAAATTTATTAAATGTAAATAATAAATTTATTAAAACGACAAAGGAGGAGGGGAAATAAAAACATACCATTAAATAATTAACATGCAAATAAATAAAGAAGACAATCAAATCATAAACAAAATGATGTTAGCAAAAAAGATGAAAAGAAGGTACAACAGAAAAACATATAATTAATTATGTAAATAAATAAATAAAACATTCCATAACTAAAAGGTTAGCTAAATAAAATATTCATGCATAAATATGGAAGAACAAAAATTAATAATAATTAATTATGTAAATAATAAATTTAATAAAATGGAAAATAAGGAGCAGGAATAAGTTACGCACAATCTACTATATCTACCCCAAACTTTTTAAACATTCGATACGAAATTGTTCAAATAACAAAAGTTAGAGGACATACCAATATTAAGCTGCATTCAAAAGACCATTCAATCCTCGTTACAAATATTTTGCACCAGAAAATATAATAGATAATAGAAATATGACTTTTATCAATTCAAAATATGACTTTTATAAATAAGAGATAATACCCTTTAATTCCCGACACTTGCACTTTCAAAAAGCATTTCAAAAATGTAATCAAAAAAAGGAAGAAAATAGTTGCAAAATGACATTGACCTTTCATCACTCAACTATCCATTTGATTACCAAGAAGCAAAAAAGTTTTAACAGAGCAAAATAATAACTTACTATTATATGAAATAATTGAAAGGAAATTAATTCAGAATAATAACTCACAAGATCTAGAATTATCAATTATAATAATAAAACATGAATAAGTTAAAATTTCTTGAATCTGATATGCTAAAAGAGGATACTTTATTCATAATTGAGTAAAAGTAGCAAACTTACTAACTGCAAACATTGAAAATTAAAATATACTAGTTGAGAACAATCAATATAATATAATCATAAATTTGAAGGTTAAGAAGTTCCACGTAACTTCAAAGTACCAAAACCACTAAATTGATAATGACAAAATAGTTCAACTCTTTATGCTTGTAAAGCAAAATAAATAAATAAAAGTACCTTTTATTAAATAAAACCAATAAAGTGTTTATTCACAAATCAATTAAAAACTAATAGTTTTAAGGACTTTTGCAGAACAAGTATCAAACATGGACACACAGTCCACGAGAGTAAAATAACCAAACGCAGTCGAAACTACCAAACAAAAGCGAACACACAATCCACGAGGGTAAATAACCAAACGTGGTCGAAACTATGAAATAAACATGGACACACAATCTACAAGGGTGAGTAACCAAACGCAGCTCAAGGCCACGAAACAAACGCGAGTGCGAGGCTCGGGAATAACAAACGTGAAAATAGAACTCACGAAAACCAAACTAGCTAATCATTAACCAAGGCACACCAAGGGCTAACGGAACTGCCGTTAACAACAGTGTTCTGCTTAAAGTCCTCGTGAAATCACTTTTCAAACATGCGAGAATAATCATTTTTTTTAAATACAATTTGCGTTCTCAATATCAAACTCGCATGAATCATTTCAAATCTTAGAGTTTGTCAAAACATTGTTTCATAGCAAATGTATAAGCTTGTACTAGTTGAGTAACCAAGAATTTCTAGAGTAAAATAAATAAAGATGCCTCCATCAATCTTGAAAATATATTTCGTAAAGAAAATACATGCATATACCATAATTTAATTAACTTTCACTATCATTCTAAAATTTTCAGAACCAAAATGATTTAATTAACAAAGTACATGATAATCATCGTAGTTGTTAAAATGATTTATATGAAAATGTAATATTTTCAAAAACAAACTACTTTTATTGAAAAATATGGGGTGCTATTCACTTACCTGCTAAATTCCAAATCCAATGATTTCCTTCCTCAATTCTTATTAAGGAACTCATCTTCCACATACCCTATATGAATAAATGAAACCTCAATTTGCTTCTGATAGGTATATAAACTTTACTTCACTAGCAACATAATCCCAACCAATTGGAAGTACTTTCCAAAAATCAAAATCATATCTTAATGATTTTCCAAACATCATCACTTTCGCTAACCTGCCTCATATCACTTTAATCATAACTACTATTTAAATGAATAAAACTCACGAGCTGACAAAACAATGGTGGACAGAGCTGTGGCAGACACTATGAACAAAAAGGAAGAGGCGAAGGTGTAGAGGAGGAATGATTCAGATCTGAGCTTTTCTCTCTCCTCCTCCCTCTCTGTCTCTTTTTGGAGAAAATGAACGAAAAGGAGGAAGATTCTTTTTATTGGTTGAAAACAAATAGTTCTATGAACTGAAAACAAAAGCAGCCTATGTCTGGGAAACAAAACAACAGAAAACATACCAAACGAGAAAAACCAGCAAACGTAACAAACAAGCCGCAGAAAAATTAACCAATGCCCATCCTACAACAGCGGTTAGAAAAGAAAGTAAAAGGAGTCATGTTTCCAAAACCCACCCCAAAGAGTGCGCTTCCTTACAAGCATAAGTTGCAGGATGATTACAAATTTATTAAATAATTAACATGAAAATAAATAAATGAGATTCGATGATCAATAATCAATAATTACATAAATAAAAAGATGTTAGCAAAAAAAAATATTCAATTCATGAATAAGGTAGGACAATAAAAAATATAATAATTAATTTTTTAAAAATATATATTTAATAAATGGCAAAGGAGAAGCACCAATAAAACAGGGCAAAAGTATTAGATGAAAATAAAGGAGGAGGAGAAAAATAATAAAATAAATTTCAAAATCAGCAAAAAAAAATTATATTAAAACAAGTTAATTAAATCAATCAACTTTTATAAAATAAATTAAGATAAACATAGAAGAAATAGTGTTACCACTAAGGAATTGAAGACAAAAATTGAATTAAACATTCAAAACAAAATTGTTTAAATAACTAACATGCAAATTACTGAACAAGACATTGCATATGAAAGCTACATGAAATTAGTGAATAATCAATAATTACACAAATAAAAAGACATGGCATATGAAATGACAACATATTGCATAATATGTGAATGAATGTTACATAACTTAAGCAAGTTTACAGAGGTATTTCGTGTTTCAATCTGCATTATCATATTCAAGCTTTTACAAATCAGTACGAATGAGAATGAATCCAAAAAAAAAAAAACAAGAGTTAAAATAATAGATAGTCAATCAAATAGGTAGAATGGAATATTCCTAAAGCCAAACAATAATAATTTTATTCAAAAATTGGATAATACTTCTAAATAAATAAGAATTAGTAAAATATTGAATTAAAATAATTAATCATTTAAATATGAAAGCTAATACAGAGAAAAATATTTGCATCAGAATATATATATATATATATATATATGCACACCAAGAAAAATCTTTTGGAGATAAAATATGACTCTTATAAATTCCCCCACACTTACACTTTTACACTTCGGTCAAAATTATTTCAAAAATAGAATCAAAAGAAAAAGCAAAGAATGACAATTAGAAAACAAAGTAGTAGAAGTTGCAAGCTCAAATGACGTGGACCTTTCATCAATCAACCATCCATTTGATTTCCAAGAAGCAAAGAGGTTAAGTCCATGATGCAAGCTTTTAGCAAGAATGAATCAAACCAAATAGCCACACAAGAGATAGTGTTTGCACTCACCTCACCGGTGTCTAGGATCATTTCACTCAAGTCCACTTATCTAATCACTCTACCATAAGCTTGTCAATGTTCTAAATCTCCACTAACTAGTAGCAAATGCACATGTGAATCAAAAGGTCTTTTCCAAGGTTGTAATATAGGTATGAAAGAGGAAGTAAGAATGCATGTAGAAAGGAATGGGAAATATATGTATACCAATGAAGACAAATGGATACCAAAGGCATAAGCAAGTCTCAAGGAGTGAACTCATAAAATACAAGAACACATGATGGCAATGTGATTTTAATACTCAAGCAACAACTTTTTTTATTCAATTTTTTCTTGACTTCAATTTTCTTTCTTCATTTTCTTTCTTTTTCACATTGCATGTTTTTTCCCTTCTTGTTTTTCTTTTCCTCAATTTGGATTTCTCTTCTTTTCTTTTGTACTTCTTTTGCTTTGTTTTTTTCGCCTTTTTCTCTTTTGGTTTTCTTTTGCATTGTTGTTGCATACAACTCTTTGCCTTCACACTTGCACCTTTACAACATCCACAAACATGTAACAAGAATTTCACAACTTGAGTTCTAGACATGCCAATGGATCCCAAGCAATACAATATGAGATATCATGCATTCTTAGAGAAAGTAAGGGTATCATGTATGATGAAAGAAAAAATATGGACTAGTAGGCTCAAAAGGGTTAGCAAGGGATTCAATCATCATTAAGGTTGGCCTTTTGGCTAAGCTAGCTATTTTATATGAATGCCTTAATCATCCTCACAATGCAAAAGCAAATGTAGTCTTGAAAAAGAATATAGACAAGTTCTAGAGGATGGGTTAGAATAAGTGGACAATTGCACACTAGAAAGGAATTACATAGGCTCAAAGTATACTTCCAACATGGGCAATGCTATCCAATCCAATTCAATTCAAACTAAAAACAAGATCACTTCCTTAAACACAATGGAAAGTGGTAATCTCTTTTCAAGAATCAAGAGTCTAGGTCAAGGTCAATCCAAGCAATGCAACTCCAAACTAAAAAGAAAACAAAACAGAGTTTTTTTATGTTCCAAAACATTTTTCGAAGAACCAACACAAATCAAAACTCTTATCGATCCCTTCCCCACACTTAAACATTGCATTGTCCTCAATGCAAACCCAAACTAAGGAAAAAATCCGAGGAAATCATGAAAGTAGCAATGAGAAAGTGAGAGGAAAAGAAGTTTTTAAAAAATCTGAAAAATTATGAAAAACAATTCTAGGAAAAAATTTGCTTTTCTCAAAATGTAACAAAAACTAAAACATGAAAATCTAACTTTTTCTACGAAAAAATCTCCCCCATACTTGCAATTAACTCTATCCACTAATCAACATCAATCAACAAGCATAATGGAAAGGCATGAAAAGTAAGAAATGGAAGAGATAAACCTATCATGGTGGATCATCAAGGAGAGGCTGATGTGTAGAAATAATGTTGGCAGCTTCAAATGATGATTGTATGGCACATGTAGAAGCTCCAAGAAGAGGGTAAGTGTCTCAAAAAAATAACAGATGCAACTAAATAGCAAATTAAAAGAATAAATAATTGATATATAACTAACATCTAGATCAAACAAAATAATAATAATAATAATAATAATAATATTGTCTCAAATAGTAGGTCACTTGTGCACAATCAAAAAAAAAATTATAGCTAGAATTCATGGATCAAAAGATGTAACGCAGCTTCATCTAAAGGTTCAATTAACAAGAACACAATCATGAGTAAATGCAAGCAAATGGAATAAATCAATAAATATACAAATAAATAATTGTCTAAATCAACCAAGCTAACTAATCCTAAAAATTAATTAAGTAAAAGAAATAAAAGAGGTGTTTTAAAACACATGCTAGCCTACTCAAGTTTAGAGAAGAAGAGAGAAGACTCCATATCACCTTCATGCAATGGAGAATTGCACCCTACAACCCCAAACATTCAACCAAGTAAGCAAATTACTATAAAGTAGACATATATGCTTGGCAATCAAAATAATCTATACTTAGAAGAACATATTAAGGAGATGACATGCAACATGAGACAATTGAAACACTATTACTTGTAGGCTGTTATAGATGCAGCATAAATACCATGAACTGAAGAGTAGCCAATAAAGTTTACTAGTCACTAATATAATTAAAAAAACAAATTGATACAAATTGACTAGAACCACTATTGGCTTCACTAGAACATAAATGAAAGGCCTCAGTCATCTTTATACTTGACACAGGCACACACATAGCCTCAACTAAGACACCGACTTCCTCATAAAGTAGCTTGAGTGCCACATGATTAATAAAAACAAAAATCTTAGCATTCAAAAGATAAGAATAGATCAAGGATGGCTTTAAACATGACAACATTCCAACATACGCTTTGAGCTAGGAATCATCTTCAACATCCCACTTTTCAACGAATATTGTGCCCTTTTTGTACTAGTTTGTACTAATTTGAGGCCGTTTACTCCTAAATGCCATCAAAATATAATTAAAAAGAAACAAGAGCATACACATTTCACAATCCAAATACTTTCATAATAATGATCTTACCTTTTTTTTAATCAATTTTAATTCCAGCAACAGAATCAATTCCACAATGTTAGGGTGTTAAAATTTAGTTTATGTTAAAAATGTAACATATTTTCCAGTAAAAGAAGAGTTTCAAATAGCATGATCATGTCTAACACCTATATAGTTAAAATTCTACCTCAATGTACAACAATTTTCTACAACAAATGGTCTTAAAAGTTACTACCATAGTACATAATTGAAAAGCAAATACTTAAAACTAGAACAACTTTTATACGTTAATACCTTGACCTATATTAACTCCTTCTAAACCAAAGCATCCATTAAATCACAACATAAAATTTCAATATTAACAGTCTCATTTTCAAGAAAAACTATAGCAGAATGCTTGAAAAGAACCACATGCTCTCCAAAACATATCCATATTTTCCTTCATGATTTTAACATAGAAAAACACAAGTTTATACCAATTTAAGGGTTAATCTTAATAAATTTTCTTGGTTCATAAACCAAAACAAACAATGCCCAAATAACACAGAAAGATGATCTGTAGCAACCACGACAAAAGTATTGCATCAATATGTCTCTTCCTTCATGAGTCAGACCACTTCATTTGCTATGAATGTCTGTCTAGGCCATGCAACTTAGTCAGAAAAGTGAAGATCTCTCAAAGGTGATATGTTCACGGTTGACTATGCAATTTGTTGGAACCACAACAATGTAGCATGCACGAGCGTTATTTCAGCAAAAACACAGCACTTTCAATCCACATGAACAAGAATAAGGCACACTTTCTAGCAAAATAAAAGGACCAAAATAGCAAAATTCAATCCAAGCCAGCCAAAATGATCAAGACTTATTTATAGCAAAAAAGATTCCTACCAAAATATAATTTTCACCCATACTTTGTGAAAAATATCTGCATAACAGTTACAAAACACAATTGGACATCAAATTGCTAAAAACCAAAATAACTACTAAAAATTAACTCATAAGGTCCAAATGATCGCCTTCTTAGCTTTTTTTTTTTTTTTTTTTAATGGTTGAAAACAAATAGGACTATTAACTGAAAACAAAGAAGCCAATATCCGGGAAACAAAACAACATCAAACATACCAAACGAAAAAAACCAGGAAATATAACAAACAAGCAGCAGAGAACTTAACCAATGGCCATCCTGCAACAGCAGTTAGAAAAGAAAGCAAAGAGAGTGATGTTTCCAAAACCCACCCCAAAGGGCACACTCCCTTACAAGCATCAGTCACAAGATGATCAGCTACATGGTTACCCCTCCTAGGAGTGAATGACAGAGAAAACCCAACCATAGATGCAAAGAGCTCAATAATTTCCTATATGATACCACGACACTTCCAGTCATATAATTTGGAATTTACTGAGACACACAGGGTACTAAAAGTTGACAATCAGTCTCAAATATAACCTTGTTCTTGCCAAGATCAATTGCCAATAGGAGAGCTCTTCTTAACGCAAGAGCCTCAATCATGAAAGCTGAAATAGAATTAACCTAATCAACAAACCCCCAAACAAAGGAGCCCATATGATCCTAACAAACAATACGAACAATAGCATTACTAAACTTATGAGTATAAGCCCCATAACAATAATATTTTTGGAAACCATCATGTGGGAATTTCCAATGATGAGTATACTCACAAGTGTCAAAAGGAGAAGGGAATTCACATTGTTCAATGGCCAAGGCATTCCATGCTTCACTATGCAACACTCATGCCTTTTCAATCACCAGGCTTGGATACGGTACTGCATGGTTAAAATTGATATCATTTCGCTGCTTCCAAATTACCCATAATATCCAACAAAGGGACGTCACTTCATAGTCAGAGAAGTTATTCTTTGACTGCAGAATATTTAACCACTAACCCTCAAAACTAGTGAGCGCCATCTTAAACAAAGTCTCATTTTCAAGCCAAAAAAAAAAAAGTAGCAACGTACTGAAATATTTCATAAAGTCTCTAGTGTGTATTGTCCCACAAGGAAAAAGTTATCTTGATATGCATGACACAAATTAGCAGATGATAAAAGAAATAATATTGGAAAGACTCATGTATACTGATTATTACCACAATCATTATTTTTCACCTAACTATTTCATCAATTGAATTCATAATAACCTACTAAAATTTATCTAAAAGGAAAAAACATATAATTATGCTAACTTTTGAGATATAATATATATATATATATATCCTTCTAATAAAATATGTCTTTTAGATGTGTGTCTGTATGCATTTTTTTCCTTTGCCTGTATTGAAATGACTTATGTTAATTTAGCTTAATTTAACAATTAAAAATTGATTTTAAGACACTAAAAATATTTCAATCAAATTAAATCAATATTCAAAAGCAAAAGGTTCATTTATCCAATCTGTACTTTTAATGTCATTTGAGCTATAGCACTACAAACATTTACATAGGAAGTCCAACTTGTATCAACCCTAGAGAAGAGTTTTGCAAAGATGACCACAAGGTAAAAAGAGATGCCTTCTTTTTTTAGTTTTCTGTTAAATGTCAGCTTTAAAGATAAAGAAGATCAATGTTAACCACAAGTTCAATGCGTATGTTCAAAGTTCAAACCCACAAGATTTGTTGTAATGGCTACTAGCAAACATGCAAAAAAGTAACACAGATAAACAGATAAACAGATAAAGAAGTTTTGATGCTACAAACAAATTCAGGAATTGAAACATATCTTTTTGGTTCTCTCTTTTCCGTCAAGTCTCAGCCCACAATAGAGTTAGAGCAAATCACCAAACCTGGCGAGTGAAGGCGATTCATGCGAAGAAGCTTGCTTTCATTGCTTGAAGCCGATTCAAGCTGTTCGTTGGCATTTTTCAAGATTATTTCGTGAGAAAAGATCTTGCTCTTGGATTTTTTAAGTGTCCTGTCATGTCATTGGAATTAAAAAATGATTAAAGGGAAACACGCCAAGGCATGATAAGCGAGATTTTTTCCTTTGAAAACGCAATTAAAGGCTAATATATCATATTGTCCATTATTAGTGGAGGACGAAAGGAGTGCTGCAATTAAAGGTTAAGATTCAGTCATCTTAACCTCCGCAAACGAGGAAGCATAACATAAAGCGGGGGAATATTCCACCGAATATTCTAAAAACAGAAGAGAAGGAATGAGAGAGCAAAGTTGAAACGAGTCCAGATCCTGGGTTTTGCAGCTTGTAATGTTATGGGAAAGATACCCAATAGTAGGAAACGAACTAGAGAGTTTGAAAGTGAAGTGACTTACCGCCCAGAAGGGTAGAGAAGGGATGTTTCGAGTGATGACAAGCCAGAGCAGGAAGTAACCAGCGAAATTCTGAAGAGGCCCGACAATCAGAACTTGAGAGATGGGCGAAACCTGACTGAGTTTGCCGGCCACAAATCCGATATCGTCACCCAAGTCCTTGGCCACCGCTAAGAGAGCCAGATTTGCAAATGACTGCACCCACATCGAACCCACGTCAAATTTGTAAGACGAGGGCGGCGGTCTCACTGAGAAGAAGAGGCGAAGGCCATTAAAGGATTCGTGGAGGGAATGAGAGGGTGAATGAGTTGTAGAGATTACGTGAGGTAGAACAGATATTTTTAGTGGCAAATGGAAAAGAGGAGGAATGGGGTTTGCGATAGGTGGGTTTCTGAGTGAGAGTCGAAATGAGAAGGAAGGAAGGCTTTGGGTGAACCGCGAGAAAATAGACGACATTGGTCTTTGATGACAACGGCAGAGGGAATCGACAGAGACAACTGATAAAGGTTGATGGAAGGACATGTTCGAGCTTGAGTGAAGGCTATGGCTTTTGAACAACAGCGGGATTTGCATCAATGGAGCTTGAGTGAAGACGCTTCTTCGTTGGCGGAGGGACTCATGGAGGTTGACAAAGAAAACGAACGAATATCTCAATGGCCACTGAGGCGGCGTTTGCGTTTGCAAGGAAGGAGCTGAGGAGGGTTAGAATGTTATGTCTGTTCGCGAGAATGGATTCCTTGCCAAGTCTGTTTGGAGGTTGTGGACCCACTTGCATTAATTCGAGTAACGGCTTACCCTACAAGGATGCGTGTTAAGCCATGGTAATTGAAATTTGAAATTCTGGGAGGGTTTTTTTTTTTTTTTTGTAGTTTACTTTATAAAAATGCTGTGATTAAACTTACCGTGATGGTTAATTATTAATTAATTTTAATTATTAATATTAATTAATTGGTTAATTTTTACTAGATACCAGATTTGATAATAATTTTATTACAATTAATTTTATTCTTTAATTTAAAGTTAAAATATTTTTAAATATTTTTAAATTTATACATGAAGCATAGGTCCTTTAACACGTGAATTAAAAAAGTAACATAAATATGAGTAGGTTGATCACTAATTGTTTATTGAAACAAAAAACCATTAATTTTTTGATAATCAACTCGTGGCGTTTAGTTAAAAATATTTAATTTTGATTATCATTGGCCTTGGTTATCAATTATCAAATATCAATCAATTAATTATTAATTATTATTATTATATTATCAACTATACTATACAAATCTTATGGATTTTCAATCTTATTAGTTTGTTTGTTTTCTCTCAATTGATGCACTTTGGCTTAATTTTAATTCTTCTCTCTTGTTTGGTTGGACAACTTTGGTTTAAGGAAAATTTGTGTTCTCATTGCCTTATTATCTTGTGTTTATATGGTATTATGCATTGTCATCTCAATTATGGTTTATGTAATATCAACTTTGACATTACTAATAATTACTAAAAAACATAACACATCATGGTAAATAGGAGTCATTAAGTTCCTCATAAGTTACCTTAATCAAGAAGGGCTATGAATTTATAAAATCTTGAAAATATTTGGGATCTCAGAAACTCTTTAAAATGATAGTTTAAGTTCAAACTAAAAGCTTTTTTAAAGTATATAAAGCATGAAAAGACTGATGGAAAACAAAACACAATAAAATAGGCGCAGAAACTGTACTTTTTGACATATATGCCATGGCATTGTTGCCCTACTTAATTTTTTTGTGTACCAAATTCTACAATTACTTTCCACAATTCTCGTTCGATTGATTTCTCAATTTATGAGTTCATATTGGTTTTTGGATTCTCCTATGAAAAGCAGAAGATGAAGTTTAAAGAATGAGGGACACAATGGATCTCTTACTGTTTTTTGTTTCTCTTTCTATCACACCCAATGTAATTTTAACCCTATTTTTATTTCTTTTTCCAAATCCCTTTCCATTTCCTTTTTCCATCAAAATGCTTTCAGTGAATCAAATTGGGCCTTGTTTATTGAAAACCAATCTAATTAAGAATTTAAATTATCCGCATAGGCCTAAAATCAAATTTATGCTTGTCTGTTTCCAAGGACCAGTACATTTTCACATGTTTTTTCCCCCGAATATATTTTCAAATTTTAAGTCTATAAATCCTCCTTGTCTTAAATCAATTTCATCACGTTGGTATCCATCAAAATAGTGAACAACGTTTTGTAAAAACTTCTCGTTACATATGCATAGCTTCTTATAAAGATACAACTTAGGCAAATTTGATAGCAAATTAATAAGCAAATAACACTAGCAGTAGAAACAAAATCAGTGGAATTCAGCAAATTAGAGACTGTCAAGAATTAGACTAACAGAAATAATTCTTCTTGTAGGACGAGGGGACTTTTTCAAATAAGAGGAATTCCATTCCCCACCATCTTGAGCATAATAATCCATTGGATATTCTCCACCAAAATCTTCATTTGCATCTACACAGTTACAGTCACTGCATAATGAGTCATTATCACAACCATGATTTTTCACCACAGTTTTTTCCCACCAACCTGGTATAATTCCCAGTGCAATTTCTGCCTCAAAAGGAGTCAAAACTGGTTTCGCAAAAGCATCTCCCCAGTCTATCGACAATCGAGGACAAGCGATCTGGATCCATATAGAGTCTTCAAACAGAGAGATTCTAGCTGGACTTGACTCTGACATTAAAATTACTGTATAATTGAAGCCCTTCTCCTTCAACTTCTTTTCCAATCTCTCCAAAATCTTTGGATTCCCTTGTCGACCTAAAGTTCCCATAACTACACCCCAATTCTGAGCCCGCCTTGATTTTGCAATTGCACTCTTCCTTGATTGTTTCATGCCCACGTGATCATATTCCTCTAGAAACAATTTCCCCAAATATGGATCATATCTGAAAGTCTTAATTCTGGGATTTGCTATCATAAATGCCTCAAGATGAAATCTTCCATCAGCTACAAACACTCCCACAGATTCACTCTCACCACCGAATGAGTTTGATGAAACCTTCGGCGCTGTGCAGCCAAGAACCTCACCAGCTGACAGTGGCTTGGACTGTGGAATCAAAACCTTAAACCCATATTTCTCTAACTCAGGTTTTGCTACCCGGATTGCTGAGGCAAACTGTATTGTACCAGCAAGGACAAGGTTTTTGACACTAGATTGAAGATTTAGTCTGATAGTATCAATCATGTGATCAACATTGATTTTAATATCATCAAAGACGTATAGGCAGGGAATTGTAGTGGAATCAATGGGTAAAAGGCAGCTGTGTCCAAAATGTATCAAGAGATCAGCACCAAGTGCTTTAGCAGACAAGTCATCTACACAACAAGCTCCATAGGTGACATCGCCAAGAATAAAGCATTGAGAGACACTAGCAAAAGTAGTAAAGATATCAGAGAGGACAAGGGAGTACATGAGAAGGCCCTCAGGAATGTAGGGCAATTTGCTTTGCTCCAGTTGACTTCACACGCCAAACACATTTGTACACCTCAAACTTGTAGTTTGAGGGGAGAAGTGATATGGCAGCATTGAGAGCTGAGTCATTCAAGATCGAATCTGGGATTTGGCTTTTAATAAAACGCTTTGGTGTAGGTTTTGGCCTGCTAGGGTTAGGTTCTTGAGATGGATGGCAAGCTTGCGTGGGTTGCTCCAACTCCATGGATGAGCTGCAAAAAAAAAAAAAAAAAAACTGTTTGCAACCCTCAAGCTTCTTTCAACTCTCTAAATTACTTGATTTGTTTGGATTGCACTGCCTTTCTGGGTCTGTGAGTCATTATGAGAATTGAGGAATAATTACAAAACTTGGACTTGCAAATCAAAACCTAAAAATATTTTGAAATTAAGCTATAGAAGGAAGAACTTCTAGAAGTAAAAAATAAAATAGAGGACTGAAGAAATAAAAGAATATTATATGGAACAACATGGTTAGTTCACAGAAGGTTGTGCTTACTAGACTAAATATGAAGGCCATAACTTTGGCAAAATGTCAAAACATAAAATAACATGTAAAGACATCCTTCTAATATGGTGCATGGGGAATAGTCATATATTTTATCAGACTAAAATTATTTTGCCTATCATCTAGCCAGGGAAATAATATTACCAATTTAGGTCTAATTAACTCCGCAATTGATTGATACATCAATGCATCTGAGCTTTAATCCTTTTTCTCTAGCCTAGATTATTCAAGTTAATTATTACTTATGACTGAAGAACAGAAAAACAGCATCAAACAAGTCCAGTGAAATTCACATTCATCATTCCAATTTAACAAAATACATCCAATCCATTTGAGTTTTAAACTAAACGCTTCATAATGAAATTTTAACACCAAGATGCATAATGTTCTCCAATATAGCAAACTCGAGTTCAATAAAAGTTTACACTATAGTTTCGCAATATGCATCTAATGCATTGGTTGGACTTGGAGATTTTAGAACTTGACAACAAAAAAGAAAACAAATAATCAAAAACAAGATCGGGTTTCTTTTTCTTCTCTCTTTGCACGTTAACAAAAAATAACTTGCTCCAATTATTGACCATTGGATATAAACTTCCATCGTGAACTGAACATATATAATTTAAAAAAAACAAAAACAAAAACAAGAACGAAGCAATAGCAAATGCTGCTTAATGCAATAGAAAGAGATAACGGCCAAATGAACATGTTCTCAAAAGTCCAAGACAAGATGTGCTCAAATTAAATGAATAATTCGCCAATATTTAATAGCAGATGCCACAAGCTTCATTTTTATATTTTAGCAAAGTGGACACAGTGGATGTCACTCATGTCAGACCACTAAAAATAATCCTCCATGCAAACTAATTTATCTGAGAAGGCCTTAGGATCTTAGTGATGCAACTTGAGTCATTGCAGTCACATCTAAACCCATTGCTCCTCATGCTGCCTATGGTGATGTCATACAGAATCGTGATCATCCCATAGGTATTCTAAAATTTCATGATGTTGTAAAAGGTCTACAAGGAAGTACTCTGGCATTCCTAACACTAGGACCTACAAACAACATGATTTCCAATGGAACCTGGGGTGGAATCATTGGCTGATTATGGACTGAAATATTTTACATTCTAGGAATCCCTTAATCCCCCCCCTTTGGTCTTTACAATTCCCAGCCAGACCTTCCACATTTTTAACTATTTTTTTTTTACCAGATGAACGATGCTCATAATTTCTTTGAAGTTACTCTCCACAAATTCTCTATCAACCTCATGCCCTTGCTCAAGATTGTCCAAGCTAGTTTGGATATGTTTGATATTCGGTCCATGGCAGAGTTTAAAACAATGAGTTCATATTGAGGACTTCCTTTAATTTACTTTTAGCCTTATACACCTCTTATTTACTAGATTAATTTTTCTGCTCCTTTATTATATCTCGTACATCATATAAATACCAAACCAGTCCTTGTATTGTGTTCTCTCTCTCTCTCTCTCTTTTCTAGACATTTCTCCCATTTTGTCTTCCCCTTCCTTTTCTTTGCTATTCCCCATCAGGATGTCTTTATCGTAATGGTAGCCTAGTAAAGAAGCCTTAAATACCCATCACACATATAACAAAAATTCTGGCAACAAGCCACACAAATTCTAAACAAGAATTATAACCAAACATTGAAAATTTACAAAGACCAACAATGAAAACACACAAAAAGGCCAGCCCAATAGCCAAGTTGAAAGACATAAACATGCCCGAATAAAAGTAAAAGAAATTCACAGTCACACCCAACTCCCAATTCAAAGACTAACACCCAAAAACAATTTGCAGAGGTACCTAATTTACACAAAACAACCGGGATTTCAAACTAGGAATGGCAAGGGTGAGAAAGAATGGGTTGCTCACCACTTGCTACTGCTGCACCCTGCTCTACCCTACCCTGTTCTTTTCTGATTTCATACCTGTCTCCCCTCCCCAACACCCCCCCCCCAAAACAACAGACACATTATGCTCATAGTCAGTCAAAATGAGGAAAAGATAAGGAAATTGCCGTAGATCAAATTCTGAAATATTAGTTGGATATATAAGAGATAAGTCTGAAAAGTGAAAGAAATAGAAGCATCACTTCGTCTAAAATTGAACAATCAGAGAATTATCAAGGAAACAGGTGCATAAACATAGCAAACAAAGAAATGCAATATCCCTAGTGTTATTGGTGCTATTTCTTCTGGTGTTTCAAACACAAGATGGGACAACATTCTGCCATGAAACAGAACAGTTAACAATTCCAAGGAAAAGGGCCCAAGAACAATAAATAATTAAAGTTTCTTCAGGTGCAGACTCTCAGTTTAAAAGCACTTTTCTACGGAGAACAACAGGAAATGCATGTATGGTAATGCATATAATCACATACTCAAGTAATTAACTTTTCAAGATCATGTCACAATTGGATAATATTACTTCAATCTGAAAAAAGAACTAATTTAATCAAGACAAGAGCACAACTTAACAAAGGTACTATAAAATACATCATACATGAAAATTCATCCAAAAGTAGGACGCCAAATTTTCTATATGAAAATACAATAGTCATGAAGAAGAGTTATCTGCACAAGTCAATTATTCAAACAGCAACTGGTTAGCGAAGGTTAAACTTCAGCTAACTCCTTGTTATCATGCTTGGATTTTTACCATGGCTAATTCAGGCATTTCATTAGTAGTTTGCCCTAATTTTTTCAAAGCATGGTAACACAACCTTTGCAACAACTAGAAGAGTGGCTAAGTTGCAAAAAAAAACTTATAGGTTTCTTCATTACTTATATTTCTTTACATGAAAAATAAAATTATGACAAAGTGCACGTATACAACACTGCATCAACCTGCAGTAGGCCTGGCATGGCTTGAAGCCTTTTAAAGTCCTACATATTAATAAGCCATGCCAGGCCTACTGCAGGTTGATTTAAGGGAATAGGCCTTGATGGCTTTAAGTAGGCTTTGAGCCTCCAAACCAAAGCCTGTATAAATAGCCTCAATTCCTATTAAAGACTACACGTTATTAAAATTAAATTAAAACCTGATTTGTGTAACAATTTGATAAATCCAAATAAAAATTGTTCTAAAGTGTGAGATCTAAATTCCAGACCATGATTCCACTGACAACAATCTATAAAAAAAAATACAGCACAACAATACACCACAGCCAAAGTAGCATCAAATGGAAATTGAACAATACAACAATATAACAACAGCATGTCAGCATCAAATGAATACAACACCAATGAAGGCTTAAATATAATCTCCTCCTGCTCAGAACTTGTACAAGAACTTGTTCTATCTAATATCATAAATTAAAATACAGCACATATTAATTAAAAAGAAAAGAAAACATGAATGGATGAGATAGATTAAAATCAGTGCAACAGTGTTCATCAAACTATGAGGATTGGGGAAAATCAGTTGTGCAGACTACGTCCTCATAAAATGAATAGATGTCAATTAAAATCAAGACATAAATTAAAATCAGAGTTTGATAACTCAGTTAGCTATATATTCCTCTAGGTCCTCGTAAATTAAAATCCAGTATCTATTCATCAAACTAATCTATTATTCCTCTGCAAATTATTAGCCACGCGGATCAGTTTTTGTAATGTAAATGAGATAACTCCCTAAAAGTATTTTTACAAAGCGGAACAGCCAAGAGCCTTTTCCAGGGATACTCCTGAGCATTGATTTTAAAATCATTGTTCCAAATAATTAAATTAAAATCGTAAGACGTTAAGACAAGCAAACACGATAGCGATGATTTGAAGCATTGATTTTTCTCGATAAGCAATCAAGATAGCGATTATTTGAAGCCTGAAAATAGGATGGATCATTACCTCTCTTCTCGGGGCAAAAATGGAGGAACACAAGCGGCAATGGAGACAGAGCAGGCGGCTCAGAATTAGTGATCTAGGAGAGGATGAGGACCGACGGCGAATAAGAGTAAAATGGGAAACGGCAAAGAGGTGTCGAGCAAACAGTGATGGAGATTAATAGATTAATGGTTGCCGTCGGAGGAGTAGAGAACGGCGACGGTCCATGGGTTAACGACGGAGAAGCAGGCTGAGCTTCAGCGGCGAGCTTGAGTGACCACGGTGCGGCGAGTTTAGCAGCAGGTAGCGGCGGGTTAGACAATTGGATTCACTCATTCGCATCAAATGGGGCGAGGGAGAAAGGAAAATCACGCAAAGGACCTAGTGAGGATGGTAAAGGGGTAATCAATATGGAAGAATGAGAGACAGGTTGCGCCAACGAATTAATTCGACTTAAGCCGATTCTTAATTTTATAATTTTATTATAATAAATTTATAATTTATATTTTAAATTTTTATAAAAAATAAATCTATTTATTTTTCAATCATATTAAAATTTAAAAAATAAGTTATAAATCCATCACAACATAATTATAAAATTGAGAGCTAAATTTATAAATTTATAGAATTTGACACTTAAAATTTAAATTAAATTAATTAATTCTTTTGTGACTTCTTATATTAATTTGACACTTAGAGCTAAATTTATATTAATTTTTTCAATCAATAGTCATTCAAAGGGCATTTTTTATATTCCTTACTTCCTCCAAAATATATATTTATCCAAATGGGCATTTTACCATTTTCTATATACCTTACTTTCTCCAAAAACAAAGTGTTTTGAATAAATTAATTTTGATATTTATTTTACTTGAGAATAAGATTGAAACTTGGAAAATGTAAAAAGAATTAAGATTTTAATCAATTTTCTTAAATGTCATTAGCTAATATTAAGTTATATTGTATTCTGAATGGAGCATATTTTATATAACAAAATAACTCAAGTCACATGAAAAAAATATATATCTCATAATAGCTTTACACTTATTTTACTATTCCTAGAGCTAGTGAGTCAAAGCCAAGTGCTTAATGCTTATTGCGTGCTATTATTTTAACTTTAGAAAAGAATCTCTCTTCTTTCCTTATCTTTTCAATTTTTTTAAAAAAGCTGATAATAATCAAGAGTTTCATGTATTCTTAATTTACTCTACCCTCTTTGTTTATTTTATCCGTGTAAAGAAAATCATTGATTTCAAAAGGAGTGAAAGTATCAATCAGGTGATGACTTATGATTGTAAAAAAGGATAAATATAGAACTTATTTCAATAACCATACATTCATTAATTAATAAATAGTCATGTGTATTTAACAAGTTATAAATAAACTAGTTTTGGCCCCAAATGATGCATGGATTATTTTTTTATATATATAACTTTAAACATAGTCATATGATAAATTTAATTTGATACAACTTTGTAACTTAGATGGAAATTTAAAAAGGTTGATGGTATAAATCAAAATGTAAAAATCAAGCTGCTTAACATTAGAGTTATCAAGGCATTGTATCTTCAACAGAAGTAACACATGTACCTTTAGGCTAAAACACAATAAAAATAAGAATCAAACTAACAAATTGAATCAAAAGTAATATTTCAAACTTGATATATGTATTAAAACGTTTACTCATATGCAACCATGTAAATAAAATAGTATTAACCATTGAATTAAGCTTTCACCCTCAATTTACAATATAGATCTCATGCTCTAAATCAAATCAATATTGTAATAACACAAGAATTTTAAATAAAAACTTAATATATAATATTATATTATAACTATAGATATATTAATTTTAGGATAATTTTGGCAAGAAAGGGAGTTGATGCAGCGGAAGTGTGTACATAATTCACTCATTATTAAGCTTGAGGTTCAAATCTAATAAGGCATAAAAAGGGGTCCATTTTTGTGATTTTAGCTTTTATAGAATTACTAAAATACCCTCCCCTCATCAGATTTAATTTTCTCTTTCTTTCCTTTCTTAGGTGCATTGTCGGTTTAGGAGAGTGGGAGGGGAAGCGAGAAGAATCTAGAGTGTTGCTCTTTGTTCCTCTACCATCACCGACTCATCTCTGCCTTTTTCATTCCTTGTCGTCACCAATGTTGGAGGAGGCTTACAGTTACTCTGAAAAACATTCAAGTTCATCTACATATCTCCTATCTCTAGTTTCCTTTTTCATTCCGCTGCTCTCCCTATATCGTCCACGTATAAGTTGTAGATGGAGTAAAGGACCAAATCGTTGAAGCTAGAAGGTTCTTCTCACGAGTACTTCCTTCCTAAGTTCAACTGTGAGCCTCGTTATCCCTTCCTTTCTGTGATCCCTGTTTCTGTGTTTTTCTGTGTGCTGTCCGTCCGTGTCGTTCTGGGCTGTGAAGTCACAAAGTATTGAGTGCTGAAAGGCTGTTACTATAAGCTTGTGTTTGTGCGGCTGAATCATTCTTCTTTTATTGTTGGATATGGTGACAATGTTCAGATTATAGCTTCCCCTGTTCAACGTTCAAGAGTACGTCCGTTTCTTCTTTCTCTTGGTTCACCACTGTTTAGGCCAGCTGAGTTGAGGTGAGGGAATTTGGACCTTCTATTTGTTAGCATGTTATACGTGTTTAGAGGAAATATGTGCTGTTGCTGCCATATGTGTGAAGTTTCAACATTTTTTTGCTTTGTTCTGCTGCTGTCCGTACGTGTGTCAAGAAGCTAAATATATATATATATATATATATTATGCATGCCTTTTGTTACTATTATGTCGTGCTGTTATAGGAGGGAGAAGATTCAAATTTAAGTTGGGAGTTTGTTCAAAGATTTGCTATATATATGTGGATGTGTGGGTCATAATCCTATGAGCTAAATAAATTTGAATTGAATTGAATATGGTTAAAGAAACTATTAAGGAAAGGTAGGAAGTGAGTGATTTGGATATATAATTTAAATAATTAGAATTTATGCACCTAAAGTAATTGGTGCAAAACCTATGAAAATTTTTTACCTCAAAATGGGGAAGGTTGTAAGTATGAAGGATAATGTTTGGTGGGAGAAGTATATAAGTGTGCAAGCTATGGAATTATGAATGGATGGTTTAACTAAAACAAATTGGTGGGGATTAGTGATGTTAACCATAACACTGGATTAACTCTAAATATGATGGTGGTTGATTTGGAATTATGTTAAAAAATTTCAGTTATTTATATAATATATATTTTGATAGGGTGCGAGGAAGAACAAGACCCTGACCAGAATTAAAGGCAAGGGATATTTTGAGAATTTGAAGCTTCAACAAGTAAGTGAATAGCATTCCTTATAATTATTTATTGAAAATCTTTTATTGAAATATTTCATTTTTATAAATTATGTTAGTTTTAGAAATTTTGAAATAACGATGAAGGATAATTACATTATGATTTAGGAATTTTCTCAAGAAATATATTTCTAATATTGATGAAGGCTCCTTTACTTATTGAAATTCAAAAATTTCTTGGTCACATAATTAGTACAAGTTTGTACATTCGTTATGATGTATCGATTTGACAAGTTTCATATATCTGAAGTAATTCATGCTAGTTTGATCTTGAGAATGAAAGTTTGACTTCAAAAATGATTATGTCTCTCGCATTTTTGAAACAGGATTTTTAAGAGAACTCTATAAAAAACCCTGCTGCTAACGGCAGTTCGGTTAGCCCGTAGCACGCTGTGGTTAAATACTAACTAGTTTGTTTCGTGAGTTTTATTCTCACGTTTGGTATTCGTGGGTTTACCCGCGTTTGATTTCATGGCCTGAGCCCGTTTGGTTACTTACCCTCGTGGACTGTGTATCTACATTTGTTTCGTAGCTTCGGCTGCGTTTGGTTAATTACTCTCGTGGACTGAGTGTCCACATTTGTAATCTGTTATGTTGAGTTCTCAAAATTTTAAATGTTAATTAATATGTGTTTTTAAAATTTACTTGATTTTGACTAGTAATTTATATCACTTTGGGTTATATGAAAGCAGATTGTTTTCTTTAAGCATAATAACATAAATTGTTTTAAATTTACTCTTATTTTATAAATATGGTTATGACTTACATGTTTATAAATTTTGGTGGAATTGCTTTTAACTAGCTGATGCCATTATTAGAGATTATTGATTAAAATTTTAAGAGCTTTTTCATGGGAATGCTATTCACTAGAAAATTTATTTTGGCCTCAGATTTGTTAGCTGACGCTAATCCCACCATCAACCTCTAAAGGGCAATTAGCTACAGTGGGTAGACCTTTGATTGGTATTATTACTTTAATGTAAATATATAAATTGTATGTCTTTTTAATTTGAAAGAAAGAGTATATGCTTCACATAGGTTATTGATGAATCTTATTTTTGGTCTGTATATTGATTGCTAGCTGGAAGGAGCTACGCTTCTGATTTATATTGATATTTGTAAAAATTTTTGTTATAGAATTTTCGGGAGATCCCAGTTATAAGAGAGGTTCTGTCGAAATTTCTACAAAAATGTTGACACTTTCTTATGATAATGAATTTAAAGAAGTTATTTTAATTCTCATATGATTTGATTGAATTTTGTTCTTTTCTTGAAAAATGGAATAAATATTCACTTGGAGGCTTACGGGAATGTGAGAGTGGTTCACACCCGTGCCGGTCACCCTCTATTTTTGGGGCGTGACAAATATCCCTTTTTCACACACTAGGGCTCTTTTTCATCAATAAATGTATATATTCATACACTTGGCTAAATTCAACACATTCAACTATTTCAAACACAATCCTACATTTTCACTAATATCTTAGCCCTCCTTGTTACATTTAACCTTATTTTACATCTTTTTACATCACAGGGCCAAGATATGCATATTATCATACAAATGCATGAAACACATTATATATATGCAAACCTGTAGTAACTTATAAATATTTTACAACACACAAAATTCATTACACAAAACTAGAATGGGCTTTTGCAATCTCACTGCTCTTGGCTTGGCTCTTTCCCTCTATTGTTATCAACATCAGAACTTGTAAAATAGTAACCCACAAGGTGAGACAATGTCTTAATAACCAAAATAATTCAAAATTATCTATCAACAAGAATAACTATAAAAAAGTAATTAAAATAATGAATTTATCCATTTTATAATATATATATACACCTTTTCCATTAAAAATCATATTCCTATGTATGATCATCCTATTCAACCAAACATCTATTTCACCCTGGTTGAACCTATAGGCTCCATTGGATCAATTCTATAGACATATTGATCCAAGCGCACCTTCATTGGTAGAATCACCATGCCAAAAGTGTTCTGTCCTACTTTTGAACTATAGATTCCTCATCACACACATGATCGAGGTGTCA